TTCTCACAATAACCCTGGTTATTGCTTATGATTATCTGCATCTTAAGGATAAAGAAACAGAAACAGACCAACCAAACTTACTTAGGGTTGCAATTCTTTAACGAGGTACAGCTGCATTGGAGAGTTGGCTGGCATGACTCAACTTGTTTAGACAGGCTCATGTCCACAGAGATAGCTCACCACCTTCCTTTGTTGTAGAATCCCCTCTGGAAAATCATGTATTTGACTCAATTCCACTCAGGGAAACAGAACTTTTTTTAAAAAAATTGGGTCATAGCACATGATATTTGATTACTGTTTGAGTATTAATTATACAGTATTAATGATAAAGGAACATTGCAATTAAAAAGTAGGAAGAGATTACAATCCAGTGGTCACTTGTGTCCTAATAGTATATTTATTTTCTGAGACTGAGGGACAAAGGAAGATAATAACCAGGTCCTTGTCTAGGAACTGATATATGGAAAGAATAGTGAACCATTCCCTTAACGTGTAAAACTTCTCTTCCTCTATTCATACAACATGGAGAGAGCTAACTGATATTAATGAGACCCTGCGTATGGACAGTAGAAAGGATGGGTACATGTGATGGGAAGGTGAATGAAGATTAATGATGAGGAAGACAAGAGCTGTTCTCTTTGTGACTTGTCCCTATGAGCATATCACAGAGATTAAGTGTATCTGTCAATTAAAATGTGTAAGAGGTAGGTACTGGGCTAGTTGAGGGACAGAGCTAGGTGTATGTAGGAGAGAGAGAGAGAGAGAGAGAGAGAGAGAGAGAGAGAGAGAGAGAGAGAGAGAGAGAGATATCACAAAGAGACCAAATGAGAACTTCCTGGGAAGCTGGATGTGTTGTTTCTCCAGTCTTGTTTTTGAACCCCAAACACATCTTTGTATTTTTGTAGAATGCTCACTAATTTTTGAGTAATCTGTATTAACACCTCTATTTAAATTCAAGCAGCATCCTTATTCTTCTGAATCATAGCTAATAAGAAATTATCAAAAGATAGTCTGAATTATAAAATTTACCTTAAGGACAGATAACTTTTTTCTTATTATATTTTAATTACTTAAAACAGTTTTAAAATTTAAATATATATATTTATCATATTCTTCCCATGTCTCAAATTTCTCCAGATCTTCTACCACTCCCTACCCACTCAACTTATGTCTTTCTCAAAAAACCAAAAACCCAATAGAACAATAAAACCAAAAAAAAAAGAAATAAAACACCACCCCAAAGAAAAACAGAACACACCAAATTGTAACCAAATAAAACACACACAAAAAACAAGAGTCCATTATATGTTGGTCAACTACGTCAGGCCTGACATAGCATGGTTGACATAGCCAGTGTCACTCCATTGGATTTTTCCCTCTCTCATCAGGTATAAATGACAGTTCCATTGTTAACCTTTACTCTAGTGGCTAGGTTTTCATTAATCCATCCATCCATCCATCCATCCATCCATCCATCCATCCATCCATCCATCTATCCATCCATCCAAAACACTATAAAAAATATGATAGGATAAAATAAAAGCTATCACTGAAACCAGACAAGACTAACAGAAGGAAAAGAGCCCAAGAGAAGGCACAAGAATCAGAAACCCACTTGTTTTCACATAAACTAAAAGTCATAATATAAATGGACAGGACCTGGTATAAACTATGCAATCCCAGTGCACTTGCTTTAGATTGGGTGAATTCATATAAAGTTTGCTCATGTTAATTTAGAGGGCCTTATTTTCTTGATGTCTTCCATCCCCTTTGGCTCTTACACTCTTTCTACATTCCTTTATGGAGTGTCAGTTTGATAGTCTTGGCAAGAGCTTGGGTTGTTTGGGGATTCCTGTTGGGCCTATTTGGCCAAGTATTCTGGGAATCAACAGTTTTGGGCAAAGAGAAAAAGCAAAAGTAATGTCAGAGCCATAGAACTAGGAGCAGTAATGTGAATTACTGACTTCTGGGCCTGATATTAGTGTTTCCCTGTGGTAGCATAAAGGCAGCTCTATAGGATTTATCACTGTTCTCAGAAATGGAAATTCCTTCTCCTCACTTTAAATCAGAGCTTCGTTATTACCACATGGCAAATGGATGAAGACGTGAGTCTATTCATGTTTAGACATAGTCTTTTACAGAATGGAAGCTTCCATATTGTATCTTGGAATACTCCGCCTTGTGTTATTATTTTGGGATCTAGCTATATTAGTATCCTTAAGAGCCCAGTCTATGTGGATAAATTGTATTCAGAAGCTAAATTGTAGAAGAATTGGTTATGTTTAACTATGGCACCAGTACTAGGTAGCAGATACAGGAGTGAACTGCTTTAGATGTGTATCTTCTAGCCCCAGAGAATATTCCAAGTTATTTTCATGTAGAGTGTAGATGAGTATACCTGCTAAGCTGTGCACAAATCACAAAACTGTAAGCAACTGGATGATTGTTCTTGTATGTTGCTAAGTTTTGTGTGTACTGTTATGCAGCATAGAACATGGATCCGTATTTAAGATAAATGTTATTTTCCTTGCCCTTGACTTGTTCTTGGTCTGTTGAATAGAATTTACAGTTACTTTCTTAGCTCTTTGATAAATTTGCTTTATCTAGTACACTTTCATAAAAATAAATATCATTAGTATTATTTAACCATCCCTTTGAGATTATTCTTTAAAATGTGGGAGTTGGAGGACCAGGAGAAATAACTCAGTGGTTAAGACTGTGTGCTGATTTTGCAGAGGACACAAGTTCAGTTCCTAGAACCTGCTTTCTGGGGCAGATAAATGCCTGTAACTATGGATTCAGAGGATCTGATGACCAATTCTGACCTCATTGGAAACCACACTCACATGTATCCTCACACAGACACAACTATACATACAATATAAAATATGGTTTTTAAAGTGCATAAATAATAAAATAAAAATGAAGGGATATTTTTGGTGATTGTCTGAAACAGACATGTAGATTTTTAATAAGGTGTTGACAAAAGAATTAAAAATATTAGAGTACATGAATGAGACACAAAAGGTATTAGTCTATGTTGTAAAATGTATATTGTTCCAATAGAGTTACTGATCACTAAAAATGCTTATGTGGAGTATTAAATGGGGAGATATGAAAATATATTCAGAATGAGCATTTTCAACTGGGGACTCAGCAAGATACATATATATGTAAGGGGAGAAAGAGAGAGAGGGAGGGGGAGAGAGACAAAGAGAGGGGAGACAGAGAGAGAGAGAGAGAGAGAGAGAGAGAGAGAGAGAGAGAGAGAAAAAAAAAAGAGGGGGGGGGGGGGAGGAGGAGGAGGAGGAGGAGGAGGATTTTTACTATTTTTTCAGTCAAAAAGGGATATTCTTCAGATATATGTTTACCAACTGGTATTAAAATACGTAAGTAGAAAAATTTCTAACACAATGTATACAGTTGTAAGCATAAATGAAATATAAAAATGAGACAAGTAAAATGAGCAACTGTAATATGGTCATTTGTTACTGTTAGGATAACCATGAAGGTGTAGATGAAGGTGCACAGTAGGAAAAGCCAAGAGATTCTGAGGCCTCACTGGTCTACATAGGGAAACACTGACTAATACAATTACTTTTGTTAATGTGAGTCACATGACTCTACAAGCAATAGGTCTATTAGTTTAAAATTAATACCCAAATATGCTGACAATCTATAGTTAAAATTGTGTATATGTTTTTATTTGATTTTGGATAACCAGTTGGTATATCCTGGGGAATCCAATTTTCCTGCTGTCTGTGTATACATTTATGCATATTTGTAACAACTATTAAAGAAAGAGGGGCCATTAATTTGAAAGAAAATAAGGAGAGATACAAGGGAGGATGGAGAGGAAAGAAAGAGAAGGCAGTAAAGATGAGCTTATATGCTAGGATCCATGCATGGAGTCTAGCATGATTACCCTTCAAAAGGCCCAACAGGCAGCTGAAAGAGTCAGATGCAGATATTTATACCCAACCAATGGACAGAAGCTGCTGACCCCTGTGGATGAATTAGGGGAAAGGTGAAAGAAGCTGAGGAGCAGAGCAACCCTATAGGAAGACCAGCAGTTTCAACTAACCTGAACCCCTGAGATTGTTCTGACACTGAGCCACCAACCAGGCAGCATACACTAGCTGATATGAGGCTCCCAACACATATACAGCAGAGGACTGCCTGATCTTGACTCAGTGAGAGAAGGTTCACCTAAACCTCAAGAGACTTGGGGCTCCAGGGAGTGGGGGAGGGCTGGTGGGATGTGGGTGAGGAGGTGGAGACATTCTCTTGATGACTCGGTGGGGGGCAAGGAAGTATGGGATGTGGAACAGTCAGACAGCAGACTGGGAGGAAGATAAAGACTGGACTATAAAAAGATTAAAGAATTCTAAAAAATGAACTTATAATCTCAAAAAATAAAAAAGAAAAGCATGTGTGTGTATACAGGCAGAGTATCCTGGAACAAACCAGAGCCACTCAGCAGCACCAGCAACATTAAGAAAATGAATAAGAACCCCTAGGCCTTCTCTTGGGTAGTAGCTTTTATTTTCTCACAAAGTAAAGGAATGTAGAAGAATGATGTTAGAATAGGTACATATATAGATATTTTTACATTATTTTATTGGAAAATAGTTTTAAGAGGAAGGAACACTGTCTTCTAATATTCTTTTATGGTTCAGTTATGAGTTGTACAGTCTGGGAGTCTCAAGAGCAGTCTGATGCTAAGGACATTCAGTGTACTGAACTTCATGAGACATTTGCTCTGTGTGCTATCTAACAGACACTAATGATACCCACCATGTTGAACACCATAACCCATCTATCCTCTAGTCTCTGGATGAGGTAAAAATGATTCTAGGATCCTGAGCATCATCAGACTGAGGTACTAGGGGTATTCAGTTCATTCTTACTCAACATGGTTCTGTGTATCGTGCTTCATCCCAGCTAAATATTAAGTCTATTTAATTACTACACCTTTATTTACTTTCTTCTTTCTTGGATCAGCTTCTTTTTGAACAAAGTTTCCTCAAAACCTTTTCTCGGATTTGTCGGGTTTTCACGCAATATACGATGGGATTCATCAGGGGTGGTACCAGGAGGAAAACATCAGCCATGATGATGTGGGTTAGAGGAGACACATTCTTGGCAAAGCAGTGGAGCATGGCTGCACTTAGCATGGGCACATAGAAGATGAGCACAGCGCAAATGTGAGAAAGACAGGTGTTGAGAGCCTTGAACTGCTCTCTGGGGCTTCCAATCCCCAGAACTGTTTTTAATATCATTATATAGGAAAAGATAATAAATACCAAATCCAATATTGTAGAAAGTGCAGCACACATCCCATAGACAACATTGATTCTGTTGTCAGAACAAGCCAGCTTCGTGACATCCTGATGGAGACAGTAGGAGTGGGAGAGCAGGTTTTGGTGACGGTACTTCAGTCTTTGCAAGAGAAAGGGCAGTGGAAGGATTAAAAGAACATTCTTGGAAGTCAGAGAAACCCCGATTTTGGTAACTTTGGAGCTGGTTAGGAGTGTACTGTATTTCAAAGGGCTGTGAATGGCCACATATCGGTCAAATGCCATTAAGGACAGCACAGAAGCTTCAGTGACTGTGAACAAGTGGATGAAAAACTCCTGGGCAAAACATGCAGCTGCATGAATTTCATGAGTTCCAAGCAAGAATAGTCCCAAGGTTATGGGTAAGGAAGAGAGGGACAGTCCCAGGTCAGAGATGGAGAGCATGGAAAGGAAGAAATACATGGGCTTGTGGAGGCTTTCTTCTGTCTTTATAAAAAAGAGGACTATAACGTTTCCCAGGAAGGAGAGAACATACACAAAGGAGAAAGGAATGGACACCCAGATGTGACTCTTCTGTAGTCCAGGGATTACGATAAGGAGGAATCTTTTTTTTATTTCTTTTTTTTTGAACATGAAATGCTTTTTTATAGCATGTTTTACAAGGGGAGAGGGTAAGAGGGGCCAGGTGGTGGAAAAGTACAAAATCTTCTTGGCCTGTGCCTTGAAACATGTCATGGTCTATACGGTACACTGCCTCGAATTATGATCTACCTGCTGTTCTTCAGAAGATATGGTACACTGCTTGAGTTATGGTCTCCCTGCTATTCTTAAGAAGATATGGTACTCTGCTTTGAGTCTATCTGCAGTTGCTAAGCAGGATCTTGCAGTTGCCAAGCTTCAGAGGACATTGTGCAGGTGGGGAAAGATAAGGGGTGAGGGTAAGGGCGAGGGTCCTGGCTTCTGGCATCTCCCCCTTCTCTGTTTAGTTAGAGAAGGCGTCTTATGATCAATCCCAACTATGTGAATTTTGAATTTGGATGTCTAATTATGGGGGGTCTTAGACAAGTTCACAACCCCAAAACACTGATGTGAGACGAGTCACATCGATGGTCGAAGGCTTTAGGCTGTCTACGATGGGCAACGTCAAGGGACTCTGATGTGGGTGAAAGGAGGGTGAGAGCCCTGTCTTAGGCCATGTAGGCTGCACCCACTCCCAGCACCACCCACTCTTTTTCGGCTGCATTGAGTGGGCCCCTGGGAAGTGGACCTACAATAATCCCGTCATTGGGCTAACTCACAGCCATCCTAGTCTCTTGTAAATGTTCAAGTTACCAACCATTTGTCAGTTTGGGGTGTAATATTGTCATAAAGGAAGGCTCCCCAATGTTAGTGGCCATATCAAGGGCGGCCTTGGTTTAGGAAAAAGCCAATTTTTGTTGTGGTGATCAAGAGGCCAAGCTCTCTAGCCAGAGAAAAGAGGGCAAAGCCAGGCATACCAGGAACCCTTCTGGAGGGCGTGGAAGTCTAGGGGTTGACCGTAGGGGGAGGCAGGGGAGCTGGCAGTTGTGTCAGTCTCCTGCGGAGTCACTTCTGGATCCTCTTCAATTTTCAGCTGATGGTAATGAACTTCAACCGTCTTCTTGATGGCAGCATCAACCTGGTTCCGTGGACGAAAGGTCGCAGGTGACGATCTCTGTCTCGCTCAATCTTGATGTCCTGCGCACATCCTCTCAATGAGGGTCCGTCTGGAGGGGTCCGTGCCTCGAGCCCCACGTCTGGGTGCCACTTGACCCGACCGGCGGGTCCTAGTTATTCGTGGGGGCGAGGAGGACTGCAACCTGCTATTCTTCAGAAGATATGGTACACTGCTTGAGTTATGGTCTCCCTGCTATTCTTCAGATGGTATGGTACACTGCTTTGAGTCTATCTGCAGTTGCCAAGCAGGATCTTGCAGTTGCCAAGCTTCAGGGGACCTTGTGCAGGTGGGAAAAGGTAGGGGGTGAGGATAAGGGCGAGGATCCTGGCTTCTGGCTCATCTGGATTAGAATTTCTACAGCAGGCATCACAGGTGATTCATTTTTACCGGGAAAGAAAAAAGAAGGGGATTCTCAGGGAGATTTCTCTTCCCTGGATGTAAATTGTTATTCATCGTATTTGTGGTTGGGCCTCGCTTTGTGAGGGTATCTATTTTTTTCATTAATATTTGTGGTAGCCGGTTAGTTGTGCCTTCTGTGGTATTGGACAGGCATATCAGTCCTCGGCTCCATAAGGGAACTGGGTCTGGGGCATTCCCTTTACGGGTATGAGGGTCCTTCCCCATATCTGTGGCAAAGTTTTGTTGGTCTTGGTGGTGCCCGAGGTCACCAACATGGTCAGCAAGAGATTTGCCATGAGCTTTCAGCTTTAGAGAGAGAAAAGTGAACAAGGCATGATGGAGAGAATTTCAGGGGAACTCCTTCTGAGGGGGTACCGTTCCCCCTCTTTTGTTTTTAAAACCAATTTTTCAGAGTTCTTGTAAAATCAGGGCAGAAGCGCCAACAGTTGCTCCTTCCACACTCAGAGAGTCATGAAGACCTTATTTAAGGATATATAAACCTATATTAATAATCTTTTGTCAAAGGACTTTTATAGCACCACTGACAATTAATCAGACTACATGATATATTGATTAGAAATAGCTTTTTCTACTTTTTGTGAGATTACCTCTCTTTTGTCAATTAACTGTTGAGGAAGTTAGGGTTTACCTCTCTCTTGAGAATATTGAACAGAGATTTAAATTCTTTTGTGGAGAGCTTAAAATATGGTCTTAGCCAATTTGCAACTCCTAGAAACTTTTGAAATTAATTTAAAATAAGTAAACTCCCTTTTTTTAAATCCTTTATCTGTGTGGGTTTTTAATTGGATACTATACGTATTTACCTTTCAATGTTATCTCCTTTCTCATTCTCCCCCAAAATCCCTTATCCCATACCCCCTCCTCCTAATTTTTGTGATGGTGTGCTCCAAACATCCTCCCAGTCCCATCTCCCTGCTCTCGAATTCCCACACAGTAGGGGATCCAAACTTTCGGGGACCTTGGCCCTCCACTTTCACTGAAGTCTAACAAGGTCACCCTCAATTCCCT